TGAGCAAGGCCCTTAACCCCCACCATGTGCTCCCTAAACAGGTCTCTCTTGAAAATGAGTTCTCGTGGCTCAATGAGACTAACCTGGATAAATAAAGGCGAAATGAAAAAAAAATATATAGATTTTAAATGTGCACACCAGCAGAAGTTCAGTAACAGCTGACAGATTTAAAAACCTTTTGACATCGTAGTTAATTAGAAATAAAAAGTGTCCATCATTTCACTCTTTGGTTCTGACAAAATGGGTTTGAATGCAGCGATCAGCTGAGCCTTCATTTATTTTTATTACAATTAATTTATTGTCCAAATCAAGTCATTTTGAGTCAAATTGCTTCAAATGCAGGGATTTAAAAAACAAACGGGAGATTTTAGAGTTAAGGACATGAAAATATATCATTTCTGAAACAAACTAGTTTTATTTGAATGAGACAAATAGAAATAAAGTCTACAGAAGTGATGACGTAGTAATGTGAGGAAGTGAAAAGTTGTAAAAACATTTGTCCGACTCTTCCATCATGGGATTAATGGGATTAATGGTAATGTCGCTCAGGACAAACTGGTTCTGAGACAGCAGCAGCTTCCTGTGAAGGTTCTGACGGTACCGACCTTCTCGGAGGTCCTGGTCCTCCAGCACGTTGTAGGCAGCGTAGTGGTCCACTCCGTGCATCCGGAGGATCTGGACCACGGCGTTGCTGAAGCCACACATGGGCTGAGCCGGCGTCCCCTTCATGAACACCACCACCTTGTCCTTCTTCACCAGCTCTCCAAGGTCCTTCAGGGGGACCGAGGCCAGGAACCGAGCCGAGCCCGACCACACCGCCGCGCCCGACCGGAGACACCTGGCTGTGGCTCTGACTAAAGTGTTCATGGCTTTTTGGACAGGTTTATCTTTCTCTCACGAAAAATGTCGGACTATAAACCGACCAGGTGAGCTCTGAAAACACAGGCGAAACTCGTCCGTCAACACTTGACGCTCGCGAGACGAACTCTGGATGTTGATTGGACAGCTTTGACAACCGCTGGATGTTGATTGGACAGCTTCGGCCCAAGAAATCTGATCTGATTTGCTATTGGTCCAACTACACGTCAATCAAAGCGTCGTAGCGTCAACGCCAGTAACAAAATTATTTTCCTGACAAAAGGACAATTTAAGGCTGTGAAAACAACGTTCTTAACCTGAAAAGTCATTAGTAACTGATTTCAAGAGTTTTTAAAGAGTTTTTAAAGTTACTTTTAGCGCTTATAAGAACTTCCGGGACGAATCACGCGAAAAAGGAAGTTGACTAAAACGCTTTGAAAGACTAATTTTATTAAGATATCTGAAACAGACTCGTTTGTTTGAAAGAATATGAGTTCTATTAATTAATTACTTTACTTATTTATTCATTCATTCTAATGGATGGATCCCCCATTCCAGTTCACACTCCCAACCAGTCGGTGGCGGTAATGCTCCAGGATACACGGGTCAGGATACCGCCAATTAAAAATCGAAGAAGAAGAACACGAGTCGTCGAAGAAGAAGACAAAACGCTTTGAAAGATGGCGGCGCCCGCACAGAGAAATAACAAGCCTGGGAAAAGTGCAGGAAAAGAGGCTCAGCCTCTGATTATAGCCAAAAACCCGGCGGAGGAGCAGCGTCTGAAGCTGGAGCGACTGATGCGAAACCCCGACAAGCCTGCCCCGATCCCGGACCGGCCGAAGGAGTGGAACCCGCGGGCCCCGCCGGAGTTCGTCCGGGACGTGATGGGTTCTAGCGCGGGCGCAGGCAGCGGGGAGTTCCACGTCTACCGACACCTTCGCCGCAGGGAGTACCAGAGGCAGGACTTCCTGGACAAGATGGCCGAGAAGCAAGACAAGGACCTGGACTACCTGGAGAAGGTGAAGCAGAACCAACAGACGGCGGAGGAACGAACCGCGAAGAGACGGAAGAAGCGGGAGAAGCTGAAGCAGAAGAAGCTCCTGGCGAAGAAAACTAAGATGGAGGACAAGAAGGAGGAAGAGGGGAGGTCGGAGAGCAGCGAGGAGGAGGAAGAGGAGCAGGAGCAGCAGGAGGAGGAGGAGAGGGAGGATGACGCTGAGGCTCCCAGCTTCATCATGGGGAGGAAATGAACGTTTTCTGTGTAGATGTTCACAAGGAGAACCAGAACCTGAAGGTCCAAAGCAGCTGTCCTGGTCGGAACAATCTGCACAGGAGCTTTAATTATTCTGAGACAAACAGCTGCTTCCACTTTGTAAATACACTTGTAATCATTTCATTTCGTGTTAGTGTTTTTTAATAAATCTATAGAACTGTAAGTTGTGGTCCAAGCTTCGTTTGAAGGTGGAGGTGTTTGAAGGTGTTTGAAGACGTGGAGGTGTTTGAAGGTGGAGGTGTTTGAAGGTGGAGGTGTTTGAAGGCGTGGAGGTGTTTGAAGGTGTGGAGGTGTT